ATAAACTTAATGCTACATCCACACTATGATAGAAATGAAACATAAACGTCTATCAGGTGTATCAACCATTAATTGTTATCATGAAGCCCGATGACTCTGATAGTAAATTGTACTTGTGCATTACTCTAGCAAATGTACATTGTTGTTTGTACATCTGACAGATATTTATGTCTCATTTATCTTGTAGTTTGGATGTCGCATTAAGATAAATTTAATATTTTATTCATACGTGGCAATGGGAGTATTGCATGCATACTTCAGGTTTAAAATACAAAATACGATTTTTTTTTTATAAATTGGACATGAATGAATGATTTAAAACATTGGATTGGACGGAATCTTCTCTGAATATTTATCGATATTTCCATGCGATTTGCATGGACGGGAAACTGATCCGACCGATGTGTGATGGATAGGGATCTACCCTTGGAACCGCGAAGACAAAAATAAACGTGAGGAAAATCGCGTCACGTCCATAAGCGAACCAATAAATTATTTATACCGATCGTAAGAACCGCCCGGTCTTCGCGAATTCATCATCGTCGCGATCGTAATCTGGTCTGGCCTCGTAAAGGTCGCCTGTTAATTAAATTGGAAACAAAAGAAGACCGTTTCTTCTGTTTCTTGTTTTGTTTCAATTGTTTTCGTTCGATGTCTTCCCTCGCAGATACGGAAATTTTAATTGGACCCGCGCTCCTCGCTCCAATGTATAGTGTTACAACCTAATTATTCCTTTAGTCGCTTCGATTTATGCGACTCGAAAGGGCAACGATTATCTGATTCGAATCCATCACGGCACCTGTGATTTCAGAGATAGGCTCACAAACAAAGGCGAAATAAGACGACGAAGAGATTAAGCGATGCGCTAGTGTGTTGCAAACAATCAAATGCTTATATGTTCGATCCTCTCTTTATAAAAGTGACACATATTTCATTGCAATTATGCAATTATTTATAAACTTAATATATCAAGAAATATGAAATATACTTGATTTCCATTTGTATCTAATTTAAAAAATAATAGGAATATTTGATCAAAATATATAATAAATTAATGCGCACGGAATTTTATTCATTGATTATATTGAGAAAGGAAAATAGCGAATATTATATAGCGTTACTGATGCATTTGAAGGAAGAAATTGTAAAAAAAACGACAACAAATAAATTCGATCAAAAATGATGGCAAAATGTAAGAAATGCACTTTGAATTGCTTTCCCATCCACAATATTCTCCAGATTTATCTCCCAGCGACTACTACTTGTTTGCAGACCTAAAAATAATGCTCAAGGAAAAAGATTTGGCTCCAAAGAATAAGTGATTGCCGATACTGAAGCATATTTTGAGGTCAAAGATAAATCGTTCTACAAGAATGGTATCGAAATGTTAGAGAAACGTTGAAATGAATGTATTACTCTTAAAGGGGACTATGGTGATGAATAAAGTCGAATATTGTCCAAAAATTGTTGTTTCCTACGAACTTATTGAGTCAAGTGTTATACTTACTAGCTTAAATTAAATTAAAAAATATTATGACTTGCAAGCACAAAATTACCACTAGAATATAATTCATTAAGTAGCAGACATAGTTTAATACATTTTTTTTACATCTAATAAAAGTTAAACTTGAATTGCACTTGAATGGGTGACCATTATTATCAATAATTAAAGTTGTAAAAACTAATAATCTGTAATAAAATATAGAGAATGATAGTCAGATGTTAAATGTTCAATTACTTAAACGTTCAACTAGAGATGTACCAATAATCTATAAATATTTATCATGGCATCTACATAATTTCAACGAATTTGGAATATATTAGTAAAAGAGCTCTTATCTTAGAAAAACTTTATACGTATCTATAGAAGTTATGTAGTGAAATTGAACATTTAGAAGTTTCCGAGATCGATTCCGAAAAACGTTTAGCCGTTTGGTGGGCAGATTTGTATGGTAATTTACTTAAGAGCAAATCTTAACACCATCCGATCGATTCAAATTAAAATACTCGCTCCTAAAACCAGCATACATTAGGACTATTGCTTTTTACATATTCGCTGCATACCATAACACGTGCCCTCCCCAACGTACGTACTTTTATAGTTTGGGCCTAAGTTATTTGTAAGTTTCATCAAATTCCTACAAAAGTTGCATTTTATTGCAAGGATTATAAACTTACAACAAAAGATAAATAATAATAATACAAATTTGATCAACTTATTTATTATAATTATTGGTTTAATTTTAACATTCTTCGATTTCAACTTCTTTTTACAAGGATTATAATCTTCTGTTATAATGTTAAAAAAGCTAACAAAAATTTGATCAACGTCTTTATTGTTTTTGTAATGTTGCATTATTTCGTGTTGAAAACGTTCGTGATTGCAACTTGATAGTCTGGATGTGTGGCAAGCGGCTTGAGGATGAGTAATTGTCGCGACACGGTAACACCGAAGATAATCCGTAGCTATGTTTCTTCCTGTTAATGCCCGATTAGCGGGAGAACCGTTGGCATACCAGAAGCAACGGCACATTCTCACCACCACCAACAACAGCATATCATCAACATCATCATCACCGACTGCTCCTCAATCACTCGTTAAAACCGTGATCTTAAGTGGAAGAAAGCAGTTTTTTCGGAAGACCGCGCTGTTTGCTCATCGCGTTATCGAACACGCGTGAAACGATCGTCCCACAAAGCCCTCACTATTTTCAAATTTCCCAAAAAAGTGAAGAAAGACAATCTTAAAGCTTTGAAGCCGAGAATAGATGGTAATACGTTCGACTCCTACGAAATATAACAATGAGTTTTGTTGTGATATATCCAGTAGCGGCTGCAGTATGCAATGATTTTTTTTATGGAAGTTCTTAATTTATATCTTTGTAGAAATAAGTATTAAAGTTCAAGTAATGTATATTATTTTTAAAGTTTGACGTAAAAATAAATTAATTTTATATTCACTTTTAATGACTAATTTTATGTGATAAATCTATCTTAACTAAAAACTAACTTAAATTATTAGTATTTAACCAGTAAATATGATAAATAATAGAAAATAAATTGTTTATAAACCCCATATTACTTATTAAATCATTAAAACATTTTTTTATGTTATTCGATTAGTAATTATGTAAGAGAAAAATGATTTATTAGTAATATTAATCCAGACCGATCGAAGCCGGACTATGCGAGACATTGCCATATACCGTTATCAGTTGAAATTTCGTATTATTTCTTAAAATAATGAAGTATTCAAAAGTTTATTTTATTGCTCTGTTATTAACGTTTTCTAGTTGCTCTCATGTAAGTATTTGACAAATGCGGATGTTTTCGACGTGAACTCTCGGTGAAAACAAATGCAGTTTCTAGAGTGAGAGATGCAACATACAGTTTCACCAAACAAGAACGATAATATCCTGCTGTTATTTTAAGTAAAGCCTTAATCTCGATCTGTCTTATGCTACCATAAGGTGACAGGTGATTTATTTGTTAAATTATCTTTACTTTATACTAGAATTTCCAACGTGCAAACATAACAAACAGTTGAAATTCATACGTTTGATAAATTTAAAATAGCAATGCCACGATAAACTGTTTATAGTTTTGTTTTTGTTGATGGATGAATCAATTTCAAGGTCCGTTATTTCATGAATCTGTTTGCTTCGGGGGAGGATTAAGGCGCAAGTGACTTAAGCAAGGAAGTTGTTCAATTTAATGGAGCGTGGAAGAAATGACGACAAAGGTGCGAGAGAGGCCTGCAGTGGAATGCAGAAAGCTGTTAAAAAAAATAAAAGAAGGAAAGAAAGAAATGAGACCAAAAGGTGCAAAGGAAGTGTATTAATGTTATTAAAACGCGAGGCGTCAAGAGGGCATTAAATTATTTGCGATAAGTGAGGCGCGAGCAAAATACATAATGACAGCAAGAGCAGAGTGGATAATTTCTTATTATCATCGCCATCATCGTCTTCGGATGGCAGCGGCAGCAATGATGATGTAAAATTCAAATGAGCCCCCACTTAATTACGGTCATTTTCGACCACAATCCAGAGACAACACGAAAAAAGTATGAGCGAATACTTATTCATTAATAAATACGTCGTTGTTAAAGCACGCAACTCTCAACAAATTAAGAAATTAGGAACGTTTTGAAACGTCTCGAAAAGGATCGTTTTAATTGTCTTTCCGAGGATGCGGCACGGGTTTGATGTTGCTGCGGCAAACAAAAGCAAAAGACGAGCATCCAGAAAACATCATAATTACTTGCGAAACTGGACCGTCAAAGCGAATGAAAAAAAAAGAGAGAGAAAAGGAAAATAAAGGAAACAAAGCTCACACGAAGAAAAGACGCGGTCTCGAGTTTAATAAGGATCGCGTGAACGTGTGGTTTTGTGGGTGACCACCCAGAGAGCCACAAAACAGCCCAACTATTTTGCATAATTCACCTTCAAGTAGAAAGATCCGAATCGAAAAGCAGCGCAGCGTCATTAAAACAAAATAAAAAGGAATGTAAAAAAAAAGGGAAAAACGAGACGCATTACAAGGACTTCTTAATAATTACGATCGTTAACACCAGGGTCCGCATTACGTTTTTGTTTTCTTCTCTCTTTGCTCGCATCTTATTAATTTTTTTCAGCTGGAAATTAGACATTGATTTAAAGCCGGTTTGATATGACCGACGCACGATGTTATATAAATTACATCAGATGTTTTACCACCCAGTATGCAGCACGCAATTAAAAGCCTCGGCAATTTTCCTGTTCCTAATCCTTCGTTCTCTGCCCCGATCCGATATGTAATTGCGACAAATTTATGGCCGTGCAATTTCCAAACACGAAGACGGAAGGGTTATTAATTATGGAGAGAATAGGACCATCATTAACTGTTTCGGTATTTCATATCTCATGTCGCAATAATTGATAACAATTAGACGAATTAAATTATCGTACGTGGGAGTAGCAGGAAACGGAAGATCGATCCTTTATGTAACGTTATTTAATTACCTTTATGTTACGTCCACTGCCGAACCTCGATAATCCACGATCACGGAAATTCTGAAACAAAAATTGTAATGAATACATGCAAAATATAATTCAAAATAAATCAAAATATAAATATCAAAAATAATATCATAATAAATAATTTTAACTAATTCAAAATTAATACTCTTAAATTAAATAGTTTTATTTTTTGATATAAACTATTAACCCCTTAACGAATATAAATGTTTAAAGACAATTATGCTTTGATTTATTTTAGTTTCTTCTGAATTTTTTTGTTCCTTTGTAAATAACTAAAGATAGGTAACTAAAAATTACAATTTTTGCTGCATATCTATTGATTTATTTCACTATCGTTCCAGAAAACAAAGATCGCAAAGTGTTGATACTAGTCTTTTGAGTAAAGGACTTTATGTTTGAATCCTCCTATTGCAATTCTTTCATAATTTCTGACAAATTTCTATTTATCACTTTATTTCATTTTGTTTTATCGTTTATTAAAAAAATACTGTTGACTTTTTTTGGTTTATGATATTTATATTGTTGTATTGATTTTTTTATTTTGTAATTTTCTGTTTCAATAAATGTTATTAGTATTATTAAAACATTCATAAAAATAAACATATACTCCATATTTCATCCCTAATCATAACATTCTTCATTTTTTTGCTTTTATTGTGTAATTATAATTACAAAGCAAGTAAGTTTTTGATGTATATATCAAAATAATGAAACTAACTAATCTAACTATGTAATTGAAAGATCTGCTCAACCCGAATTAAAACAATTGTTGTTTCAGTAATATGTATGTGTTAAACTAACTTCAAATTAAAATAAAATATTGTAAATATTTAAATTTGATCAAAAAATTAATTAGGATGGATGTAACGGGCTATAAGCCAATTAATATAAATATAGGAATTTTATTTTATATTTGGACTTCCATAAAGATTATTATTTATTTCTAAAAAAATAATTAGTTAAGATTTTTAAGAAATTCTATGTAACATTTCTCATCAAAATGTAAAGCAATAAATTTCTACGCAAGCTAATTTTCATTAATCAACATTTTTTAATGAATTTCTAGTAGTTAAATAAATAAGATATATTTAATTAAATATTTATAATGAACCTGGGAGAGAATTTGATAAATTTATAGTGTTTCCTTGAATTTTTGATAGAATTATATTGAATTACAACAGGTCTATAAGCAAGAGCGAAAGAGAGGGAACGTGTGTGTGTCTGTGTTAAAGTTAATGATCTGGGATAACCGTGTTAACAGACTCGAATCCAGTTGGCCGTTGAGCGTGTGTAATTTAGCCTATGATTTATGGAGGCGCGCGTTGCGGCAATTATTTAATTACTCCATTAACCTGCGCTTTAGGTGCCAGCAAATTGTCCTCGGCACCACCCGAAACATCCATCAAAGCCATCCTCAATCTTCCGTGTGGACTGAAAATGCAGGCACCTCAGACCATCAACCATCAATCCAAGCCTCATCGTACATAACGAAGCCGGATTACCGCCTAATAATATGATCGGCTTAGAACTTAAGAACAACAAGATGATGAAGACGACGGCGGCGGCGTATTAAGCTGTTATCGCATGCATTCATGTGGATGCCATAAAGGAATTTACTTCTTCCATCTGGTTTTAATATCGCGCCAAAAGGTTTTCATTTACTCTAAACACTGTTATTACTGTCACACTTAAAGTGACACACAAACTATCTCCATTTAATGCCGTGCATGATCTACGCATAAATCACATCTGCCTCGGTCTCACTCCGTGACTGTCAGACCCAAGGTAAATCCCATCAATTACCTCTATCTCTCTGTGTCCATCTGCGTTCCGCTCGTACGCGACCATCGATCGCAAATCTGGGACATTCGTGGACTAATTATTATTATTATTAATAATATCAATAATCAAGTGCGTTAATTAATCGCCACATTCCCGGACGCATTAGTAGGCATCAAACAGTATTATTATCAATCAATCGCTCAATTAATTACTGCCATTCCTAACCAGTACTCACAACCAATTTTACTATTTGTTTTTCAATTTAGAAAGTATGCCTTTAATGCAATAAATTATGAAATCGCTTTGCAAGTCTTTTACTTCATTATGTAATGGGGTTTATATTTTTTAGGAGGTTTCTACTTATTGCCAACCAAAAACGAAATGCTTTGGCCCTATCAATTTCTATGATTTTACTTCTTACAAAATAAAATCACATCACTTATATGAAAGACATCATTAAAACAACACATAGTATAACTATTGAAAGCTGCAACTATTGACATATGCAATTTTCATTTGATGTCCTTATATATTTGAAAATATATATGATATTATCATTTACATAATATCATTGTCAGGATGTTATCAAAGCAAATCTACGCTAATTGCAATAGATTAAAAGAAGAAAAGGTATGAGATATATAGTAAAATGAATATTATTTTTATGACTGAAAAAAGATCTATTCTAATATTATAATAAACTAATATTAATATTGTATCCTACACACATCTGATCAAAGTGCGTGAAGTTGTATATAATCATCATTTTATTAAATTTAATACTTCACAAATCAAGTTGATTAAATAGTATACATCATTTGATTCGTGTAGTGGAAAGCAATTGGACAATAATGGCAATAAGAAGCACGTATTCAATTGTGAGCCAACGTGATTATCGCCAATAATTATTCCGAGCGCCGTGATTCTTAATGTAATGTTTTACTCGTTATTTTTTTTATTTAATTTATTTTCGTTCGTATTTCCTCTCGTTTATTATTTCTTCCTCCTCCGTGAATTCCGCCACGTCCCGCATCGAACTGCAGGTGGCTAGACATGCGACGACAACAAAAACCAGCAGCAGCAACAACAATAACAATTTTGCAAAGGATCACGTTGTTGAATGGTTATGGAGCCTTCGACGATTACAAATTATTTGACATAAATATTATCGACTATAATAAGTAATGCAATATAACACAGAGCCGTACGTACGTGACAACGTTCCGACTATAACAATAAAACGGCAACAAAACAATGGAATGATGTGTATGATGATGTGCGTTCGACGACGACTTGTCGACCCGCCGATAAATCACGGCATAACCACCCCGTAAAATGTCACCAGTATCGGGTGTCATGTCATTTCGTTTCCGAGAACCTAACAGTACGTGTCGGCGTCGATTAAAATTCCTGCTTTCCCCATAAAATAACGTCCGTCCATCGGTGGGGCGGTTTATCCGAATTATCCTTGTTTACATCAATCTAAACTACCGTTTGATCTACTGCATCTTTGATGTATTATCATTGTTAATTTATAAAACACAACTAAAGTCTGTAATACTATCCAATAATATCTATACTTAGTACTTAGCATCAAGAACTATGTCTTAACAAAGTTTATAACATTATATATTTCTAGTTTACTTAACTATTTTTAGAATTATTTTGTAAAGTTTCATGGATACCCGGATATATAAAAAGAATACTTGCTCAGCCACAGAACTCCTGGATGCAACCCCCCGGTATATCGTGCAGTTGTAACATGTGTATGTCATAAAACGAAAAGCACCGCTGAAACTTGACAGCTGTCAAAACAAAGCTTGGATTTATCCAATAAATAGTAAGTGTCAAAATTGAAACTGAGCTTTCGTTGCGTCCCGTAGAAAGGATACTCTGAACTGACTGAAGTCATTAGTCGGTACCGATTATAATTTTTTTCTTCAAAATTTTGTTTTCTCAAGCTAATTTGTAAAATTTACCGGCTCCGCTTGATGCTTCAATAGCACGGCTTGCATAAGCAATCAAGTCCGTTAATTTGCTCCATTATGTAACATGCAGTGGAGCACGTGTCCACTATGCTACTGCATCTCAGCAGGAGTGGAAGAAGAAGGAGTATATGGAAAAAAGAAAACTTTCCAACGCTGCTTGTTTGCTCGTTCAATTGTCGTAATTTTGAACTACTCCTTTCTATTGCCATAGTTATAACAAATACAACTACAACAACAACAAAAAAGTAGGCACGTATAAAAGTAAACAAATAAACAAAGTATGAAGATTTCCATGAGTGTATTGCGCCTGATGTTTGATGTTTGTTTTTTTTTTCTAGTGTAGGATTGGTCGTGTGATTCGCGTCCTCGACGTTTCCAGGACGGGGTGAAAGGTATGATGGAATTCGGGATAGAAACCTTCCTCTCAGGTGATTAATTCTAATCGCGGAATTATGCGAAACCGAGATATTGTCTGGCGAGACGGCAATTACATAAATCTGACACTTACCGCTATTGCATTGCCGTGGCATGCAATGCAACACACGGAGGAATGGGAAGCTAATTACCATCAGTATTACCATTACCATTACCAGACAATAACGCAACACACCACACGTCGTGGGCAAATCGACCAATTGAATCTGCGTCCGTGCTCATCTTCGCCTCTCGCCAACGACGGTGGAAAAGCTTAGAAAGGAAAATCGTCTTCTTCATCATCATCGTCGCCTCTTTTCCCCAGCCGACCGGTGAAAGAGAAAGAGACGCATGCGTCTGCCACGGCCAATACAGCAAGAGGCTTTCGCGAAGAACATTAGAATGGTGCGATAGGCGGAACGCTAATACTCTTTCATCCAATTGCTTTCCAGATGAATCTTTAATTCACTTGAAATATTTATTTCAGGAGAAAAAATGCATTACCATTAAATTATATTACGAAATTCGAACAATCATAGATTAAAACCCAAACTTTTCAAATTTGTTTTAAAGGAGTTTGTTTATATCTAATAATAACTAAACTTGTTTAAATTATAATTTTAGATTTATCTATAATTTACAGTTCAACAATAACGACATCTAGGTTGTTCACATTGATGAACTGATTGTGAATAAAATTATACGACATAAAAAAAGGTTGTTAATAATAAAAAAAAATACTGAACAATTTCACAGAATAAATTAATTGGTACTACTGGCATATCTGACATATCAAAATCCCGACAACTATAATACCGGCAGTATCTTCTATTACAGGGGTGGCCAGAC